ATATATTTGTATATATTTGGCAGTACTGAGGTTTGAACTCAGGGCCTCATGCTTGCTAGACCAGCACTCTACCACTTGAGCCACACCTCCAGCCCCATTGTGCATACAGAACACATTCATTTCAATGAATTACCAAACACATCTTCAGCAAGCCTTCAAAATAGTCTTTGTTTCTTTAACATTTTTAAACAATAAAACAATTACACCTAACTACTAATATAGCAACAGTTGGAAAAAGCCTAGATGATGAAGATCTCAGTGTATCTTAACGACAAATGGAGTAAGAAGTCCGTTTGGTGATAATGAAGGCCAGGCAATGGGGGTTACCCAGAATGAGGAGGAAGACGACCCCCATAACACTCCACAGCCTCAGTTAGCCTGTATGTTAAAAATAACTCACAGCTTAGCTTAGCATAGGAAAAGATTAAGTTTTCATAGTCAAATTCAAAAAAAACCTACTTCAGCTAAATTTTTCACTAAATGCACCATTTTGTGGTGTTTCCTGTTTTAAATGCTTGGTTTATGAAGAGTCTGGACTTGGAGACACTGTTTAATGCAAATGCAACTCCTGGTGTCCAGTCAAAAAGATGCAGCATCCAAGGTCAAACTTTAGCAGGATATGGGTGTCCAAAGAGTATTCTTTACATATAATAAGTATCGTTTAACAGATTTCTACCTCTTGATGTCTACAACTATGCAACATTACTCTCTAGAGTAATGTTTCTGAGTTTCTTACTTTTAAAATACATCGGAGACAATGGGAACTAAAAAGCTACAATTTAGAATGATAGGAAATGAGCCTGGCACAGTGACACATAACAGTAATCCCAGCACCGAGCAGGCTGAGGCAGAAGAATCTGAAGTTCAAGGCCAGCCTGGGCTACTTAGTGAGACCATCTCAAAAAACCAAAACTAATAATAATAATAGTAACCTGTATCTAGCATCCTCCCTCCATTCTCCATCTGCTAAACCCTTATCCATTGCTTAAATGGTCTCATACTTCCCCAAATCCACCAGAATTAATCTTTTCTATTTTTGTACAGTCTAACATTTTTACTGCTAATTTTGTGCTCACACTGCCTGGCTCTACTAAAATGTGAGCTCAAGAGAAGAAACACCTGCTATTCCTGTTCATAATTATTATAGATAATCCTTATTTCTCATTAACAACAACAATAACTGTTATGAAAAAAGCAAAATCCAGGTACTCTCCCAAGCACAAGGGCAAACGCATTGCCTCATTTGTCCTAGAAAAGCCTTGCAGCCATTTTACAGGCAGAGAAACCAAGGCTCAGGGAAGATAAGTCATTTACCCAGGTTGCTTAGGCTTATCACAGAGTAAGCAGCAGAATGAGGCTCCCAGCCCAGCGTCTCTACCTCAAAAGCAGGTACGCTTAAGCCCCTTCACTTAGAGGTGAGGTTGTTAAGCTTATCATTCTAACCTTTCCTGACAAAACAGAAGTGTGTTTCACAAAGGCTTTGAAATTGTATGAGCCATTAGAGCTGGAAGGGGAAAAGAGCTTTACGTTTCCTTAAAACCCTCCCACACACAATCTCTCACTTTTATCTGCCCTCCAGTGGCTAACTGGCTGCGACCTGAGATTTCAGGACAGGATCTTCTCAGTCTACCCCTGGGAAGATTAAGCACATGCCCGGTGGCTTCACCCCTGTCTTCCTCTTCACCTTCACACTCATCTCTGTCCCCCCTGGGTCTCTCCTGTGGTCTCAGAAACAGAGACAGGAATCCCAAGGGTTTTAAAGGATTGTCCCTTGCTTTATTCACCCAAACATTTACTGAAAGCATGTTTTTCTGCCATTCTGAGGCCTCTCCATCACTCCCTGCCTCTCTTCTCACTGTGATTATAAAAGCAATAGTAAGAAGCAAACCCACTCTTGTAGATTTGAACACATAAAGAGGCAAAGGACAAAAATATTAGACTCATTCACAAATCAGATGAATTACTGTGGAAGGTTTGGGGGTTTCTGTTTGTTTTTTGGGAGTTGGGGGAGGAGAGGATGATTTGGGGGATTTTTGATGCTGGGGATCAAACCCAGGGCTTGCCCTTCTATCAGTGCTCTACCACTGAGTTTCACCCCCAACCCAGTTGTGGGAATTTTGATGTATGTTCCCTTCTACTTTTAAAACAAGCTCAAATTTACCCAAAATTTTTGACGATCTTCTTCAGATAATACTAACGTAACATTTTTTCCAACAATGTAATAAGACAGGCTTCCTAAGATACTTGTGCTAAACAGGAAATTTAGGGTCCACACTAAACCTATAGTTCTGGAAGGTATTGAATGGTCTTATTCCAGCCCCTTACATGCAGCCAGAACTTGACCTATGCTCATGAATGAAGAAAGCATGGATGGTGGATCAGTGAGGGTCATTACTGAAGTTGAACTGTGGGCTTCAAGTAAATATTGCAATACAGAAAAGACACGGGGGAAATCTTTTTTTTTTTTTTAATTTTAGCAAGGATTTGTTTTAGTATAGCAGGATAAAGTACAGAGAAGTAGGGGGAAAGAAAGAGAAGTATTTCTTGTTCTCCATGCAGGGAATGGGAGAAAAAGACTCAAGGGAGGGGAAAAATTCTTAAAAGGAGAAAGCTATTTTATTCTTATTAGCTAAGGGAAGTCTGTAAAATTAAAACTATCATTTGACTCTGAAGGGGGAAAAAAGCACCATCTCATTTCATTCCATACAATAATGGTCACAGTCTTAAGACAACTGAAAGTCCCACAACCCAATTCTAAAGTAGCAAGCTCTATAACCAAGTATAGCCCAGTGTCACCAGCAGTTATACCTGAATGGAAGATAAGGGGGAGTTGAGCCAGATAGCAGTGCTCTGTAGGCCTCTTCTGGTGTCTTCTTTAAATAGATCACCTAAGACAGATATAAACAGTAACATTTAGCACACCACCGAAGAATGACACCAAGCTCATTTAATTACTCACCAAACTTGCATTTCACTTCTTCCACTTAGAGTGACAACTGCCGTGGTGATGCTGTTGACATGCATGTTGACATGTTGATGCATGTGACAGCATCCAAGCCGACAAAAGAAATGTCCTTTCAGCCTGAAGCTAAGCAGCAGCCCTAGGCTGAATGATGGGTATGGAGTCAGAGGACAGGGCAGAGGCCAGTGAGGGCCACTCACGGAGGCTCTCTGAATGGACACCTGGCAGGGACCGTGTACCTCCACCATGGTACCGTGTGCTCACCAAAGACCAATGTGGCCCCCTTGCCTGCATAGAAGGTGTACCATGAGTTAACTCAGTGCTAGACAAGACACTCAGAACTCACAGAGAGCACAGTACCCACGGGGTGTAAACGAGTTCTCTGTCAGCTCCGAGGCCAGCTAGCCCTGCTCTCTAAATGTGCAGAAAAATCACAATGAAGTGGACAAAACTGTATCCAGGATAGAGAGCGGGAAACACGCTGGCATGGTTCTTCATACCAGGGACACTTAAACCCCTCACTCCACCATGATACTCTCCTCTTAAACAAGAAACAAACCAAAAGGAGCTCTTAAAACCCATAAACAAGCAGGGCTTGGTGGCTCACACCTGTAATCCTAGCTACCCGGAAGGCAGAGAGTGGGTGGATTGTGGCTCCAGGCCAGCCCAAGAAAAAGGTTCACAAGACTCCATCTCAACCAGTGGCTGGCTCCAGTGGTGCAAGCCTGTCATTCCGGGTATGCCGGAAAGCAGATAAGAGAATCACGGTCCAGGCTAGCCCAGGCATAAAATGAGACTCTACCTCAAAAATAACCAACACGAAACAGGTTAGCAGAGTAGCTAAGTGGTATCAGGCCTGCCTAGCAGGTACAGCCCATAGTTCAACCCCGAGGACCACCAGAAAACAGTCAATTTCCATTAGTCAATTTGTTGCCTATACAGCATATGCCAGGCACTGTAACTGGCACCTTCCCTTTAATAGAATTTACATTAGTGTGGAGCAAAGAGGATAATTAACAAAACTAAATAGTCCACTGAAGAAGAAATAATCAGGTCTGGGAGAGAGAACGGAAGGAGCTACTTGAGGCAAGGAGGTCAGGTCAGATCTCTGGGTGCTTTAGGCTGAGATCCAGAGGATGACAGCCATGGGCAGAGCCAAGGGAAGGAGGAAGGGCTTCCTGGGCAGTGGGAATGCCAGGGTTAGGGTCCTTGAGGTGACAAAGAGCCTGTGAGCAGGTCAGAGAAGTTAGTGTGGCTAGGGTGGGGGAAGCAGGGAGGGAGGACAGGACAGGGGAGGGAAGGAGAAGGGAAAAACCCAAGCAGTGACCAGAATGTGAAGAACAATGTAAACATGGCAGGGTTTGGGTTTACTCCAACTGCAATTCAATATTTTACTTCCAGGTTGAGAGCACTGGTCCTCTGAGTCTAATTTAATCCCTAAAATCCTCTCTGCTCAGAATTAATGGCATTATTTTCTTAAAGTGTCCTAACATCAGTCCCTTACATTTCAATTACCAGAGGGATAGCACCCCTGTCTGTGCAAGGTAGGGTCACCTCTACCTGGGAAGGAAGTTTCTTTGAGCAGTAAGCTATTCCACTAGCGATAGACCACATGCGTTTACTTCTTCATAACTTCAGAACCAATTAAAATAAATAGATAAAAATACACCAGACTTCCTTAACAAAGTCTCCTATTCACTTGCAAATGAAGGGAACGCCTGATCAAGCACACTCCAACCAAAGTGAATTGAGAATGAAACACAAAACACCAGAAGTGAATGAAACACAAAACACCTAGATGAAGAGGGCATCTAGACACCAGGCACTGAATCCACCCAGAATCACAGTTCTCGTGGTGACTCAATTACAAAAGCCATTTAAGTCAACCCTGGCTTTGAGGACTATTTGCAGTGGACGTTACAACATGCTTCGATGGTTCCCTCCTGGGCAGGTGAGCTAGTAGAGGTGGTTTAATGAACTATTTCCCAAGCTAAAGAGGATGTCGCATTTGAAAGTTGACTACGGGTGTCAAAAGAGAAAGCTGCTTGTACAAAGCTTGTGTTCGCATTGGCTAATTAAAGCTTATACAACCAACAACCTTTGAAGAGCCAAACTACATTTCCCTCCTCGGAAGCAATTACAGTAATTCCCTTTAATTTTGAGGCAATGGTTCTACAGGAGGGAGTCACTGGTCCCCAGGAAATACTTCTTTAGCCTGGCCACCCCACAGGGCTCTGTCCCCATCTTACCTGCATGGCTTAGCACACGTGACCCATGTTCTCCCACTGTAAGTTGAGAGCCTTTGTTTTTATTTTTATCCCAGTGCTAAATTATGTACAAGTGCAAAGTGAAACCCAACAGAGACCATCGAAATCCCAGGAAGATGCCTGGGGCATCTGTCACAGGCTGACCTTTCCCAGCCTGAAGGCAGGTACTCATGAGAGAGCGAAGTTGTTCACAGGCGTGAGTGCACTGTGAGTGAATGCGTGCATACTGGATGGTGAACTACAAACCCACTGCTCCAGGAGAAAATATGGGGTGCATTCCTATGCCAGATCTTCTTAGACAGAGAGAGAAGAGACAAACAAGGCCAGACTGAAACTTGGATGGAAATCTAAAGCTCCAAAAATTAAGGAACTTTCCAAACTCACATTGCTGCTCTGTAATGGAATTAGATTTGAACACAGATCCAACTGCAAAAATCTGCAAGAAAGGACTCTTCCAAGTCCCTACCTGCCATTACACTTGATTCTGAAAATTAGGTAACTTCAAACTGTTAACAGTAGTTATCTCTGAGGACAAGGGCTGGAGAAAGATGAGAGGGAGAAAGGGGACTTTTTACTTTGTATCCCCCCATCACTGTGTTTTGTACAAACGTGTATGCATTTTTAAATGTGAGGTAACTAAGTCAGTTATGGAAGTAAAACATACCCTTTTTCTAAAATTTTCTACCACACCTCCTAATATTTTAAGAATATTTTCTGAATTGAACCAATTTCAAAGTGTTTCACAAATAAATATTCTAATTTTTCTTAATCTGCTCCTAGGGGAGAATATATACATATATACACATATACACATGTATATATGTGTATATATAATATTTATAGTATTTATAAACCCAGTGGGGAGACTTTTCCCAAACTTTTAATTGGTACAACTCAGCAGAAGCACTTGCACAGACAGTGCTTGGCACACCACAGCAATTTAGTGAGTGGTTACATACATCACTCATAAAATTGCCTGTCCCTTGCCAGGACGTCCTAGAAACCTCCTCAATAAAAAACATTTCACACATACTTTCTTAATTTTATTTGAGGATGACTCAGTCAATTAAAGTCATTTTTTTCTACTTTTGATGCCAGGTAACAAGGACTCATGTCTTAAATACATGATTCTTGAGAGCCAGGATTTGAACTTCACACTATCAATAAATTGGAGGTTTTATTTAACAACTTACGAAGAGTGACACTACTACTCCCCAGCATAATTTATATTGCTGACCAAGAAACTGACATTGCCCAGATTTCAATTAATCACTCTTTAACCTTCCTTCTGCCACATATGCCATCCCATGTCTCTTTAAATGGGTACACTCCTTTCACTTATATCAATTTAATGTAGAAGTATTTTATATCATCACTATGCATAAATGAACATTACAATATATAAGACTTAAAATTTAAAGTGTTTGTTTGTACACCCCATACTGGCAAACAATGTGTCAAATATCAAATCTGTACTAATTTTATAAAGGAATACTGACCAACATAAGGAAAGGAAATAAAATCCTCTTAGAATTCATCTGCAAATACTTCCAAATCATGTTTTAAAACTAAATCTTATGGTCATTAAATCCTGAAAGCCTATGAAAAACAGCATCTGTGGTTTTTAGAAGCAAGTTTTTCAGAAGCAACTGTACCTCTGTACTCAGATAATTTAATCTCATTGACACACAGGCAGTGATTCTTAAAACAATGAATGGCTTAAAATAGAACTCTAAACCAGACTGGGTCTATATTTCTTAATGGTCTTTCCCTGGGGACATTTGCCTCAAGCCTTACTATGTTTTGAGCTTTGTTTTCAAGTAAAAAAAAAAAAAAATTTTAAAGACTGTAAAATGCAACACACTTACATATACTCTACATATATTTTGAAAAGAAACTCATGCCCCTATGTTAATCATATTTATATTTTGTGATTCGGAAAATGGAAATACTCAAATATTCAACATGGCTTTCTGAGAGTGTCCTTCAATTTTGCTAGCTGATCTCAAGCTATTTGTTTAATGTTTTCATTGTTTAAAGTAGAGGAAGTGAATGCTGAGGATAGCTTTCTCCATTAAGTACTCTACTGGATACTGACGTGATGGTTTGACACTAGCATTCCTCCCATTTCTGCCTCAATAAAATGTCTCCATTTTATTGGAGGTCTCCAAAAACCGATGTTACAACTTGAAAATAGTCTAGAAGAACAAAGCTCTACCAAATACAGAAGACATACCAAAAGGAGAGGCCTTCTTTGGCAGAGAGCACTCAGTTTGGACACACTGCTCCCTAACTGGCCTCTCCTAACACCTCCGATGACCATCTCTGGTTCCCCGTAGTCAGTCAGACCCAAACTCAAAAGTCATCTTCAACTCCGTCACTCTGCTGCCCTCAAAACTCAGACGATTCTCTCCACGGGGCCTGAAACACATCATTTATCACTTGGGGGAAGAAGGAAGGTACAAATATCTTTTCAAATTTTACAAACCACTACCAGAGTTCCTCCAATGGCCTTGAGAGGGATCACTGAGCAAGGGGAGGCCTGATCTTAGCTCCCATGAGCTCTGGGTGAATCTACAGCTGACTTTCTTCAATGACTACCATCAGCACTTTACTTCAAACCCTCATCTCAAATCTAGGACTAAATATGGCTTCTCTCTGCCTGCACCAACTGCCTACTCCAGTAGGCAGACTACCCAGACTGCCTACCCATAGCACCCTCCAGTGCCCCAAAGGATTTGACTAACCACATGCCAAAAATATTTTGAAAAACAGTAATAAAGAAATAGCAATACAATGAAAATTAAAACCAATATAGTATAACAACTATTTCCATATCATTTACGCTGTACTAGGGATCGTAAGTAATCTAGAAATGATTTAAACATACAGGAAGATGCGCCTAGGTTACGTGCAAATAATGCACCATTTTATATAAGGGACAGGCACATCCAAAGATTTTGGTATCCGAGGGGTGGGGGAGGGGCAGGGTTTCTGGGACGAATTCTCTGAGAATAAAAATAGGAGGACTCTGCAAGTCTCAGTCTGCCCAGACAGATGCCCTTCACTGAGATGTCACCCCAGTCAACCTTTCCAGGTGAATTTGTCACTATTCCCCACTCACTAGCCTGGTGACTCCTCACCATTTTCTAAACATCCTTGATACTTTCTGGCATCTGGAGCCTTCCTAAATATTCCCCATGCCAGCTTTGCCTATTCTTCCCACCTCATCAGCAAGTCCACTGGTTTTCATTTTATTAGATCACTAACTCAAATACCACCTCCTCCATAGACCTTCTTGTCTAGCTCAGAAACCCTCCCTTTGCTCCTCAGAAGTCAGAAATGACGATTGTAAGCGTGATAACAGCCATGACAACTATGATAAAAACTACATAGCAGCCACCGCTCTAGGCACTTGACCCAACCTGACTCAGTCTTCACAATCACCCTCAGCAGTGTCACGCTCACCCTCATTCACAACCTCACACAGTTGGGCATTGTGGCATTGGACCTCCTCAGGGACACTCATGACCACTTTCTGATGGGCCTGTCACCTCTGTTGTGATTATTTTCCTTTATTCTTAAAAAAAGCTCCTAGGATCAGGACCCGAGTTCCCCAAGCCCTTCCAAAGTCTCCCATCAAATACATGTTTCATGATAACCCCTTAACCTTACAAGGTCCACAGAGTTTCCCTTCACAGAGATAATTCAGCTTAGTTAATACCTAACGGGTGAGATTTTTTTAAATGTGCACTGTGACTTCAGTCAAATGCCCAGGGGAGCTACAAAAATTATCTGAGTCCAGCTATCCGAAAACATCAAACCAGGTAGAGTCAATTCTCCATCGAGGTGCTAGGAGAGAAAGCAATGAAGAGATGGACTACAAATAAAAACTATGGCTCCTGTGATGTGCATTTGCTTCCAGAAAGTACTTAGAGAGCCAAGGTACAGTTCCCAATCCAGATATGTCCAGATGCTCACGTTCCATCCACCCTGGTGGCTGGAACAGAACTTAAGGCTTACAATTTGCACAGGAACCTGAAAGAACAGGAGGACACAGGGAGACTTTGCAGCCTGAGGAAGGAGGTTAAAGACGCTGACAGTGAGGGCTCTAAAGCAGGGAAGGAAATGGTCCAGGAGGGCCAAGTCTGGATCTGAGCCTGCCCCTTATTGTGGTAGCACTTAGATGACCACCTCCTCCTCTTTCTTGGGCTACCCTGCAAGGAAGCAGCTCTGATGCTGGTGACCTTCTTTAGCAAGCTGATGGCATCAGCCTCTGCTCTATGTCCTCAGAGCTCTCTGTCCTCCCTCAAGTTCTTCCTCCAGGCTGTTTCTGTGTTATTTGATTTAGCCTGTGTCCCCAGCGAGGCTGTATGGGAGGCTAATTTCTGTCCCTTCTGGAACCATAGGACTCAACACTAAGCCTGGCATGCAGCATGCACTCAAAAAGTGTTTGAGGGCTGCACAGTGAGTGAGGAGGAAGAAGCATGACCCAGTCACGGGACGCTCACCGTCTCTCTAGAGTGAGGTGACAGAGCACAGCAGGTAAAGCTCCAGATCGGGAGCCACCTGCCTGGGCTCAAGCACAGACACTTCCATCTCTGCGAGGAACAGCATTCATTAATTCTCTATGCTTCCATTTCCTTCTGTGTGAAGGGGGTTTGACTGGAACAGGCTCACCTGGGGCGAGGACAGCTATAGTGTCACTGAGGCCACTCTGCCCACACTGCAGGGAAGATTAAATGATTTAATGATTCAGGTGAAAGACTCATATCTGTATCCCAGCACACAGCTCTCCTCCAGCCAGGGAACACAGAAAGGACTTAAATTTGGCCCCGAAATATTTCTTTCTCCTATTCACCACCTCTACCCGGGGATCTTGCTCTGCTCATGCCTCACAGGTGAGCCCTAAAGCCTTCCTCTGCATACAAACCCCAAAACATGCAAAAGGTTGTAAAAGTCCCTCGTGACTGCTGTATGCCCAACTCACGATATGACACCATAGCTTCCTAAAACCCTCTCACTTTAAAGTACAGCCATTGGTCCTGCTCCTCGTGGTGCCTCTTCTGTCTGAGTAGCACAAGCCTAAAATAAATGCCAGGCCCTACTTTGTCAAATCCATTGTCAAAATATCAGGAGATGCCTTTGGTGGCCCATGTCTCTCTCCAACAAAGCACACATGAACACGAGACAGCCAATGTTCCTACAACTGTGCTCATTTTTTCATATTTGAACCTTTCATGAACAACAAAAAATAAAATAAGATTACCAAGCCTGGAGAGGAAAGCAATTACCAATTACCTGTGAAAAATAACCCACAGAAGTCCATGGAAAGCACAGCTACAAAAACATGCCACACGCCCGGGAACTCTGCAAAGAGCTGGGCCATCAAACATGCAAAGCCTCTTCCTTGGCTCCTAACACTTGGTTCTGACTTCTTTCTTTTTTGGAGGTACTGGAGTTTGAACTCAGGGCTTCGCTCTTGCTAGACAGGTGCCCTACCGCTCGAGCCACTCCCCCAGCCCCTTTTGCTCCGGGTAGTTTTGCTCTGGCCAGCCTGAACACCAATCCTCCCATTTTATGCTTCTCACAGTAGCTGGGATGACAAGCAAGCGCCACCACATCCAGCTTTTTTCCCATTGAGATGGGGGTCTCAGGAACTTTTTGCCCTCAAACCATGACCCTCCCACTGTCAGATCCCGAGAAGCTAGGATTACCGGCTCAGCCACTGGTGCGCCCGGTGCTCATACTTCTTAAATGTCAGTGTGCTTAATTTATAAGCTGCTTTCCTGGTGACAGCATTAAGTCTTAATTGTCATAAACAAGCATAAACAAAATGTTTGGTTTTTTCACACTGAGTAACATTTTCTTCTTAATCAGCTCCTCCCACCGTATTATCGTCAATGACTACCAAAACGATATCTACATTCAGTTTTATGACCTGTTTCTAAAAAATAGGACTAAGTCGTACATTTCTGGAATGAACAAACAATTCTACTTGTGTTCTATCTGCTTACAGAAACAGGAATACTCAGTGTTAAGTAATAACTTACGAATTAAATAGGTTAGGTCTGGCTGCAAGGCAGATGTGCAACTGTGTATTTTAAACAACCTGTTATTTCAGCCTACTTTAAATCTGCCACGCTCCATAGTTTAATGAGAACAGAATAAAAGCATCCTGTCTCCTGCAGACTCCAGTGAACACACTGTGAAGGAAGATAAGTCATTCTTCCTGTGCAAGTCTATTATAAATCACAGATTAGGAGGTCAGCAAAGTATAAACCAACTCATCACTTCAACACCTAGGGAGGCAAGGTTAATTACAGAAGCGAGGCAGAATCCAGTGTCTATCTCCTTCACTTAATCTGGCATCCCTATAAGAACAAGGTCTAGAAATGACTACTTTCTTGTTTGCAGTAATGCTTACTCTAAAATACTCTCGTGTGACATATCTCTACTTGTAATTTGAAGTTGGAGCTTGCTACACGGATGACAAGTGCAGACTTTGTTCCACTTACTTGAGAATTCATCTGGAATAGAACTGCTCCCTCCACCTCTCTCCTAGCTGTAATCAGAGAGAAGCCAGTGGGAGCTGTTTGATAGGCAATTTAGGAGAACTGCAGACAACATTAGCCTTGTGTTTCTTTCCGTCTAGTCTGATGGGAGGCAGGATTTTCTTCATCAGCCTGAAAAAGACATCTTTCCAGAAGTGGCAGATACAGCCAGGACAAATGCACACCTCTTGCTAGTCCTGTCTCAGTGACACCACGGCCACCTTCTGCCTCAGACAAGTCCATGTGCTAACACAGACATCCTGAGTACTGTATCACACAGAGCCAGTCCAAGTCCTTATTAACCCACCCAGGTAGCACACGCCAATGGCGGAGCACCCAGCGTTTAAATGGGCCTGATAAAGGAGAAAATGCTTGGTCCCAAGGAGACCTGAGTCCCTCGTCTCTCAACAAGCAAGTGCAAGGCTTTATGTCACAACACTTATAAGCCTGTTCCTCACCCATCCTTCATCATCAGAAAGCAACCTCAGTCCAAAACACAAAAACAGACTCACTTCAGAATACCCTAGAATAATACTCAAACTGAATGGCTTCATGTTTAAAACTCCTGACACTTGCTGGCAGAGTGAAGGACGCCTGCCTAGCAAGTGTGAGGCCCTGAGTTCAAATCCCAGTACCGCCAATAAAAACCCCCACAACTCATGATGCTGAGTTTCATTGCTTACTTCTGGGTATACTATGAATTTTAGCTCACAGAAAGATGTGAGCTAAACATATGTTTATGTTTAGATGTGAGAAACATATGTTCTTTAACCAAGATTTCTAAACCAAAAAATGTTTATTTTTTATGATGAAGAGGCTGAGACCAGATCCACTGAGCTAGATCATGGTTTAATGTTTAACTCCTCTTAACACCTATTATTATGAAAACTGCCTAATTTGCAAATGAACTATAATCCAAAGCTTATTTGTAAAGACTAGTATTTAAAATTCTGAGGGGCTGGCAGAGTGGCTCAAGTGGTAGAGCACCTGCTTAGCAAATGTGAGGCCCTGAGCTCAAACCCCAGTACTGCAAAAAAAGGAAAAAAAATTAAATGCTTCAGACTTTGATAACAGAATCTTTGAAGGCTAGTATTTCCAATTCTGGAGATATTTTTTCCAAAAATAAAAATGAAAGACAAAAAATAATACTAATATGTTTTATATTATCACTAAAACAACCTATCTAAGATAAAATGTAGCAGAAAATGTCATTTTGAAAACTAAAATAATTAAAACGGTATGTTGGCTTTTCAAATTCTCTCTTCTCAATACTTGAAGAAATCCTCCATTAGGAAAACCTGAGGAAATCAATGAACAGGTTTTCAATGACTCTGACTTGAACCTGGAATGATCCCAAATGCTTGGCACGTCATTACACCTAACACCAAGACTTCAAAATGCATAGCTCCCCTCAGTACATGGCCTTATGAATAGAAATGGTTTAAAATCTGAGGCCATGAGAGGTAGGGAAAACATCAGAAGAAAAACATCTTCTTACAGAAACAAGAGAGAAACACTGGGCAGAAAAGTCAAAAACTTTCTGGGCATAACTACGAGGAAGACCACCAAACAAGCATGGATCCCAACTAGAGCGGGGTCCCTTCTGACAACTTATGGCAACTTATGGCAGCCTAGATCTCTTATAAGGAGGGGCAGAAGGAGACCAGCAACCCAAGGTATTCATCCTAGCAAACAGAAGATGTGCCTGAGGAACTATCTAAAATGGTTTTTAAGATTAAAACATTAGGGCTGAAGGTGTGGCTCAAGTGGGAGAGGGCCTGCCTCACAATCACAAGGCCCTGAGTTCAAACTCCAGTCCCACCACTGAAAAAAAAAAAAGGTTAAAGCATTAAGTTGGGCATGGTAGTGCACACCTGTAATGCCAGCACTCAGGAGACTGAGTCAGGAGGATCATGAGTTTCTATCTTAAAATGAATAAATTCATTAATAAAATTAAAATGTGAAATATTTTTAGCATATTCTTTTTAAGAATAAAAAGATGTTGTGCAAACTTCTAAGGCACGCGGTGCACATCTCAGGTCTACCTGAGCTGCTATTCTTTGCACTTACTCAAGAACAGAAATCTGACAATGAGCCCAAACAAGGCACTGGTTGTTCTCTTGCAGTATTTACAAAAGAGCTGTTGCTTGGAGAACTGCAGGAGAAACACGAGCTTTGCCTGGTGTTCAGTGTTTGCAGACAGGATTCTGCAGCTCTCACCTGAGCTGTTCAAACATCTGCCACAGGACAGGATGGTTCTTTGAGAGGATAACAGATTCAAGAATTGAAAAGACCAGGTTCCCCAAGTGACTTAAATGACGAATCTCAACAAAGAACTGAAACAAGTGAAGTCACTTGAACCCAACCAACAGATTTGTGGCACACATACTCAGTGTAGACACGAAGGAAGATTGTGGTTCGAAGTCAGCCCAGGCACATAGTTCTCCAGACCCTATCTTGAAAATACCCAACACAAAAGAGGGACTGGTGGAGTGGTTCAAGGTGTAGAGTGCCTGCCTAGCAAGTGTGGGGCCCTGAGTTCAAATTCCAGTCCCACCAAAAAAGAATGGAGGTCTACACGGTTGATAAGCTTCTAAGAGAACATGGCCAGCATCACCAGACTTTAATAAATCCACCCCTTCCTTCATGTGCGGACTTGTAAGTGCTGAGTTATATTTTTGGGGATGTAAAAGTGAGGACGACAGGGAAGGCAGACCTGTAAACAATCAGACCATTGTGGCAGAGTAGCCTAAGAGCAACGAACCATGGACACGACTGTCTCTCCACAGGTCTAAAAGGTGAGTTTCGACAGCCTTTCAAGAGCAAATCAAGTCATTCATGGGAATAAATGTCATGTGTCATGGAGAACAAATTCCAGACTCACCCCACACAGCGGCCTGCAGTGACCTCAAACATTGTCCCCTCACTACTCCTTATTCACTGTGCTCTGGCTACGTGGGCTTTGCCACCCCACCCAGAAGCCTTTGCACATGCCAGTCCCTCTACACAGATATCTTCCTCTTTATCATCTTACCATCACCCTCAAACAGGGCTTCCTGAACTCCAGTCTAAAGCAGTCCACCAGAGCTGGGTGCCAGTGGCTCACACCTATAATCCTAGCTAGTCAGGAAGCAGAGATCAGGAGGATCCTGGTTCAAGGCCAGCCTGGGCAAATAGTTCTTGAGACCTTATCTCAAAACTACCCAGCACAAAAAAGAGCTGGGGGAGGGACAGGGAAAGGATTGGCAGAGTAGCTCACGTCGGTAGAGCACCTGCCTAGCAAGCATGAGGCCCTAAGTTCAAACCCCAGTGCCACAAAAAATAAATAAGTAAAATAAAATAAAGTAGCCAATCAGTCACCAGCACCCCACTCAATCAGTCATTTCCATTGAAATGACTAAGACTTACTTCGCCTTTTTGCCTAAGCTATGGGAAATTCATTAGTAAGTTTTAAGCTTCAGTAAGCCAGAGAAAGTGTCTGTTACAAGCAACCAAACACTCCAATGATTGTAATCCTGTTATTCTATATATAAGCCGATTAAGGAAAGGAAGGGGAGAAAGGAAAAACAGAGCAACAGGAGAGAAATGGTCAGAACAGAGGAAGGAGAAAGAGATGGAAGGAGCAGGGGAAACCACAAATGGAGAGGGAAAGGGACACAGAGATGACAGGAATGGTGGCTGGCTAGTTCCCACAATGATGTCCACTTGGATTATGGGTGTCGAGTAAGCTAGCACTGCTAAGGAGGAGCTAAGAAGGACTGGAATGACAATGACAATCGGGGTCTTTTCCTTCCCAGTTCTGCCTCCTACGACAGCAGCTTTAAGTTCTCTGAGTCTCCTAAACAGTGAGGTAGGGACAGGGGAAGGCTTGGGGAGGGGGGGGACAGAGCCCCTCTGAGCTGTGCCTGTTCTGTGACTCCAAGCAATGACTGTGGCAGCTCCCCTGGAGCAATGCTCCCAAGAGAACATGATTCTGGATTGTAGAGAAGACAAGGAAAATGTCAGAGGCCTTCAGTGTCATCCTAAAGCCTTTGTGTTACCCTGAGGTCTACGTCAACATGTGTTCCTTTAAAAAACAAAACAAAACAAAACAAAAAAAAGCTTTGGGGGACAAAGAGGGGGAGGAATTGACTCAGTACAGAATCCTGTGACCCACATTCTGGGTAAATCTCAAAATATTTCATTATAACAGAAAGATAGCAATCAACAACTTAAATCTGATTTTGTCTTCCCTGAATTCAGAAGAAAATATTTTCAGTCAGTACACATATACAAAATCTATTATCTGATAGTTTTTTTGAAAACTATGTACTAATCATAGCACTAATCCAATACCAGGATATCCTAAAAAGTTTTTTTTAGGTTTAATTCATACACTGACTTGGAGACAGGGAAACAAAATTATTTTAGAAACTACTTTAGAATGTTTACCCCATTTTGTCACTATTTCCATTATATTTGCAGAGGAGTCTCTAAAAAAAAAAACACTGAAAAGTTGGCTCCCATAGAGCTGTCTTAAACAACAAAAATGTCTTTTTTTTCAAAAATGGAGAACAGGAAGGTAAAACAGGTCCTGTCTGAGGCTGGTACCAGTGCAAGGGGGAGGATATAAAAAGAGGGTGAAAGAGGCTGAATGTGGTGGAAATATTCCATTTTCATGTATGAAAATGGAAAAATGAGACCTGTTGAAACTGTTCCAGGAATGGGGGAGGGAGAAGAGAAGAGAACGATGGAGGAGCAAACTCAACTGTGATGTATTATAAGAACGTCTGTAAATGTCACAATGTACCCTCAGCATAATAATAGAACTTTTTAAATGAAAAATAAATAAATAAACGTGCCCACTGCAGAGGAGCTGAGACAGTAACCTTAAAACGACAGAGGTCATATGGGAAGGTGACCGGGAAGTAGTGAAGAGGTCAGGTAGAGATGAATCAATTCGGGTTGTAATGCACTTGTGCTAGGAATCTCTCAACTAGCAAAAGTGCTTGTCTTTCTTATTATTGCTCATGTCTTCTCTTCAACAAAATTGGAGAAGAGGACAGAACAGGTTCTGCTTGAAAGCGAGGGGGATGGGGGCAGAGGGAGGGCACAGGGAGGGGGACAGGGGGAGAAATGGCCCAAATAATGTACGCACATATGAATAAATGAATAAAACATAAAAGTTGGCTCTGAATAAAATATGTACCTTGCTGCCAAAACTTGTCGGCACTGAGCATTTTCTCAAAGTTTCAGGTATTTCTGAAGAAAACATAAGTATTTCACCTCATCCAAACTGATGGGGTTTAATCCCTCCCCAGTACCAGGACAGACAGTGACTTATAAGGCTATTAATACATTCTAAACTTCTATGTACAATGGTCCGCTTTGGTGTTTTAACAAGCAGCTGATTTCAAATTCAAAGCCTGGAGCTGGGACCTTGGAAGAGCAAGACCTTGGGAAAAACATCCAGTGACCCCCTCCTACCCACACTGGACAAGTTCCTTGACCTCCAGAAAATATCAGAAACCATGGATAGGACTGAATGTTGCATATACTATGTTTTTCCCTATAAATTTCAATTTATAAATTAGGTGCCGTACGTTTAACAAAAACTAATAG